ATAAACACATTTAGGAGGAGCACCACAAGCACCCTCCGCATGCTTCTCGCCGCACTGATCGCATCGTGGCTTATTGCCGCAGAAGGCGGCGGTGTGGCCTAATTGTTTGCACTTGGTGCAGTTCATCACCCTTGGTATAAACAACCGCACAGGAAGTCGAACCCTCCCAATTCGGACGTAATCTGGCAGAGTCGATCCGGAGAAAGTCACTCGAAACGAGTCAGTCAGCGAATAGATTTTTTTTGTCCCGTCGAGGGATGCTGACTGCATTTGGGTGCAGTCAAGAATCTTGACTTCTGGAAGAACGGGGTTCTTGAAGACACCAACCCCCCTCTTCAAGAAGTCATCGCAGGTCAAACTCGCTTCGGTGACCACTCCTTCGATTTCCACGTCACGACTGGGAATGTAAACACGGTACTCTAACGTAAAAAGCTCGCAGGCAACAATCTCATTCGCCTGCTTGCGGTTACCAACAGTGACGCGCAGTTTGTCTGGCCTCACCTTCAAAATGTCGGTCACTGACGAGAAACGCTTGAATAGATCTTTTTCGATCTGGTTAACGTTAAGCGGTTTTTGTTTGGGTCGGAAAAAAACAACCCATGGGCCTGTCGAGGCGTCTGGGTATGACTTATGGCGGGGGGCAGTTTTTGTTTTCTTGGCGGGGTTAGGCGGAGTAGGGGGAGACGGTTTTGGCGGTGTGGGGGGAGAGGGATTAGGTGGGGTAGGGGGAAACGGGTTTGGTGGTGCGGGGGGTGACGGTGCTGGTGGTGTTGGTGGCGATGGATTAGGCGGGGTAGGAGGAGATGGGGTAGGCGGTACGGGCTCCGGTGCTCGTTTTCGCCTGGGCCGCTTCGGGATGGTTCCGGTGTACTTCTTCACCGTGGCTGACGTTTCCACGTCGGACAGTTCGTCTTCAGTGGGAAGGGCAGGAAGGGTATTCCCCCCGCCATCACTATTACCATCCATTGCGGGGCAACTGCCACCGCAATAGATACAAAACAACTACACACAGGGAACACACAGGGACAAGAGAAAAAGAAGAAGAAGAAGACAATATTTGCGTGGGATGGGAGAAAGGGGAAACTAAAACAAAGGGGCAATAAATAAAACTTATTCGCTACTTAACTACACCGGCACAAAGCGTGTGTGTGGAAACGCTGTTATCACGTGGTGCGTTGGTGTTGGTCCACGCTGCTATCCGGTGGTGATGGTTGGTGTTGGTGGGTCAGCAAGCTGGTGATACGACACGCTTCACTATCACTTGCACACCCTCGCGACGGCGTGAAAAAATGATGGACTTGACGACGCCGTTAACTCCGGTGATGGATTACCGGGATGAATTAAAGCTGGATGGTAACTCCAAGGGGCTCGGCCGATAGAATTCCACTTCCTCTGTTGGACACTGGTCACTTGGGGCACCCAATGGGGGGTGAAAAAAACCGCTCGGGCGGAAAAAACACCGAAAAAAACTAGATGCCGCGCAACTGAAACCGGGACGTTGTTAACCGACTGAATGCTCAACTAGGAATGATGGAGTAGATGAAAGCATAGAGTTGATAGTTCCGTTAGAGTACGGCAGTGTGAAGATTGTATATAGATATTAGAATAGCGAACTAGGACAACTTTTAAGGAAGGTACAAATCGGTTTTTTCATCTCTCTTTACCAAACTCCCCCTTTGGAGAGGGATGGTGAGGGGTGTCCCCCCCCCCGCCACCACTGGCAAAAAGAGATGAAAACCAACCCGTTCAAGTACCAACTGTGTGTTTGAAACAGTTCTACCGATTTTTACCGCACTTCAATTGTTATTTGAAGGAAGGCATCCAGTCGTAGGTTTGGAAATTGCAACTATTGTTTACCCCTACCACGATATGTGGACACCCCTCACCATCCCTCTCCAAAGGGGGAGTTTGGTAAAGAGAGATGAAAAAACCGATTTGTACCTTCCTTAAAAGTTGTCCTAGTTCGCTATTCTAATATCTATATACAATCTTCACACTGCCGTACTCTAACGGAACTATCAACTCTATGCTTTCATCTACTCCATCTATCGTATAAAAATTACCACTACAGTCTGTTATTTGAAATTAGCATCTTCAACTATGTAAATCGTTGACTTCACGTAGAAGTAATACTAAAAACATATAGTCAAAGTGTAGTCAAGTGTTCTGCCTTGGTTAGGTGTCTGTATCCGCTGATTTGCCGCAGATCCCGCCTCTCAAGGGTGAACAAACTGGCCGTCTACAAACAAATCATAGCACCTGCGATCCTTTACGCAGCTCCGGTGTGGGAATCATGTGCAAAGACTCACAGGAACAAAATTCAGGTCGCTCAGAATAGAGTGCTGAGGATGGTTCTTGATCGTCCATTCGACACTAGAATAACAAATTTACATGAAGAGGCAGGAATGCCAAAATAGATTCCAAAATTAACGAAATTAAGACTAAATTTGCACAAAAATGTAATTTATCAGAACATGCTTTGATAAGCAATTTGTATATAGTAGGTTAGGTGTACATAGTAGTTGTAGGTTAGTTGTAGTTGTAAATAGTAATTATAAGTAGTCTCCTTTTTCCAATTCAAATCAAACCAATCCCACCAAAGTGGTCATACTTTAAAATAGGCCTGATAGGACTAGAAACTGTAAATAATAATTAAAATCTCACTGTACTAAAGTTGAAAAGACGCATCTGTGTCACTTAAAAAATTCTTACATGTAAACCACACAATCACAAGAAATAAAAATCATTTAAATGGCAAAAAATGGCTCGTTGAAGTTATCCTTGTAACCAATTTTGGAGGTGACGAACCACCAGCAGCAGCAGAAACAGCAGCGGCAGCAGCAATAGAAGCAGCCGCACCCGTGGGAGCTGCATCGCTAATTCGTGTAGCCGTGGCCGAAGCTGGAAACCTCGGTCCGGTCACGACAACACTGAGGCTTCGTCAGAACCTTGGTGTATAGTTTCCCGTGATTTTCCCACCGTATTTTGCCATTCGTCACGATTTGGAGCTTCCTGCACTTTGTATGTACGCAGTCCCTCCCGGTCCTTGGTTATCTGAACGAAAGACTTGGACAGGTTCATCTTTTTGGCCATATCCCTGACCGAAGCATTGGGATTCCGCTTAATAGCTTCCACGACATGCTTGTGATCCTGTTCACTAATAGAACATCCATTCTGACCGCATTTCTCCTTCCGTTCGACGCTCAGAGTTTTGTAGTAACGTTCAATCACACGACTCAACGCTGACTGCACGATTCCAAGTTGTTTTCCGATGTCCCGATGAGAGAGCTGAGGATTTTCCAGGTGCTTGCGCAAAATCAATTCGCGACGTTGATTTTTGGGTGACGCCATTTTTTCCAACATTCGAAAAACTGACAGCGATAAAAATACAGTGTAAACAATACACTCTAAACTACTTCTTCCCCACGGTAGCTGAAAACTATATACTAAGGAATCAAAAACGCTTCCTCTACCATTTACAATTCCTCTCGAACAAGTGCCAAGAACAATGCTTATTAAAATTCCCATCCCTGCGCCTTAAGCAACGATGGGAAGCGAAGGGCAATTGTTTCCCAAAGTGGTAACCGAATGAGGAAGTTTCTTTCACTGAAATAAGCATTTCCGTTTTCACCCGTCGCCCTGCGGGGCCTCCGTTTGGTCAGTCGGTAAAGGTGCAGCTTTAAAGCAAAACCATGCTGGAGGTGGTTGGGTTCGATTCCCGGTCCGGTCGAGGAATCTTTCGGTTTGAGAAATTTCTCGACTTCTCTGGGTAGAGTAGTGATTGTATGTTAGAGCGCTTCTTCGTCGTAATCGCCTATTTCCGAGTTGAAAACATCAACACTATCAATAATTTCACTGTCAGTTTAAAAGCTACAACACAAAGCCTACTTAAGTGCACGATTTGATTATTTACACCCATTGTTCTCAAAAACAAAAGAAGCGCTCCTGACAAATACTTTGCTTTTCTGCCTTCATCCGTATGACGTGGAAAATCTCGACAGAATTCAAACTCGTAGGTCGGAATTGGAATCAAGAAGCAGCCTTCGATTTTTAACAATATCTCAAACTTTCTATCAAATCCAACTGTTTGTATGGAAAGGTTAGTAAAATGAGAAGTCATTTTTGATAGAAACATTTTTTTGTTCTAATGCTCTCGAAACATATATGTAAAGTGCAGCGTGTGCTAATTTGAATAAAAATTAGATCAAAACCTGTAATTGCCTCGCAAATGGTATCCGGCCTAGAAAGCTCTTAATTAACAACTGTGGAAGTGCTCAAAGAACACCAAGTTGAGAGCCGGGGTAAAGTCCCAGTAGGAAGGTAATAAAGCCAAAGAAGACGAAAATCCATCCCCTGCCGAACAACTGCAAGAAGAGAACACACTTTTCCCCGTGCAAATCCAGTCCCAAGCAGCATATCTCTCGCGCTCTATTACAGCTTTTGCAAATGTACTTAAAAAGTCGTTAGGTGCTCATAAAATTATGATTATTTTGCTTCGTCTTTGTCTTTCTGCACTTCTTTGACTGCTTGATGAGTACACCTGGCATTATTGTTTCCATTCAGCAGGCGAAAGCGTGGGTTCTTAGAAAAAAAGCAGAAAAAGCCAAAAAGAGGGATCTGCGGAAGAAGGATTTCGACAAGCTCCGGAGGAGTTATAGCAGTGTTTAATTTGTGCCACGCTGAGCGTGGATTCCATTTGGCTGGCTGTGGGATTTCAACTTGAAACAATAGCGAATGAAGAGCATGGGGACTCGGAATGAAATTTTAAATCATAGTCATGTACCCATTTAGAAAGTGAAAAAATGCGTTCAATAACTTGAGCATCAAATTCGGATTAGACTTGCTGCGGCCCTGCCGTTAAAATCTGTACGTCATTCCCATCAATATCAGTCACGCTCTAATCTGCCTGGAGTGAAAATGAACCCCCTCAATCGCCTTATCTGCTGATCGGGGAGTGTTATAAAAGATTTGCCCCTTTCAACCAAAGTCACTATTAGTCTTTCGATTCGTAAGCTCAACGGTTAGCAATGTTTCGTTTCACGTTTGTTCTGATCTGCCTAGCAGTAGGTGTAGTCACCGCTGTGCGTAAGTTCATTCATCGGCCGATGTGCGTTTCGTGACGTAATCACTTGGACCTACCTTTACTTTTGCAGAAACACCCGATAAGCGTATAGTCGGAGGAATTCCAGCCGAATCCGGAGAAGCACCATGGATGGTTTCGATGCGCAATTCTTTCAACATTCACTTCTGCGGAGGAACCTTGTTGAACAGCCGGTTCGTGCTGACGACAGCCACCTGCATGGAGGGCCGATTGTCCAGCACTACCATGGCCGTGGTGGGATCCAGATTTCTCAACACCGTTGCCGCTCCCTATTTTGGTCTGCAAACAATTAATCACCCCCAGTTCAACCAGAATACGCTGGAATTCAACGTTGCCGTGTTCCAAACGATTCAAAATATTGTTTTCACTAATATTGTGCAACCGATTCAGCTGGATCCGTCCGTCATTATGGCTGGATCGCGTGGCCGTATGTTCGGATGGGGTCACACCGAAGAGGGTGGAAGCAACTCGAATGCCCTGAACTTTGTCAACTTGAATGTGATCGATAACGATAATTGTCGAGGATTCCTAGGTGCCGATGGAATGCGAGTGGGAGCTTCTTCGCTGTGCACGTTGAACCGCGAGGGACAAGGACTATGTACCGTAAGTAGAGGTTTTGAAAATTGTGTTACGGGGAAAGAGTGCTGAATGAACTTCGTTTCAGAATGACGCTGGTGGTGCTCTAACACTGGACAACATGGCCATCGCCGTCGCATCCTGGAAGCTACCGTGTGCAACTGGTCGTCCGGACGTCTTTGTTCGCATTTCGGCCATTCGCGATTGGGTTGTCAGCATTATCTAAGCAACGGGGACGATTGACGATAACATAGGTCAGTGATAAAACTGTAGGTTCATAGATAACAAATAAATTTCGGATTGAAACAAACGGAAGATAAGTAGGTTCCTCAAGAATTGAATCTATTTACACCTGCACATATAACAATTTTATTTTTTTCATAATTAATTTAGAATTAGCTTTACAATCCCGTAGTACGGAAAATCCAAGCGCGGTGAGCGGCGACCCGAGTGTACACGTCTGGTAGTCCAGCAGCGCATGGAACTCCCCACGAAACTAGACCCTCAAGGTTACCGTTAACAATCAGTGGGCTTCCCGAGTCACCCATGCACGTGCCCTGTCCAACTCTCGAGTACGTGCAAACACTGCTACCGTGAATCTTCGATCGATTTTGAATGTTGTGTTTCAATTTGCACTCTCCGTTGTTCAGCGTCCGAACGTCCATGTATTGGAGGAAAATGGCTGCTGCCGATCCGTAGCTAGAGGCACCCCATCCGCACACGGTTCCGATTTGTCCTCCGAGCACCAGGGAGTTGCTCATCCTAATCGGTTGCACCATCGAGCTCATCTTGATCGGATAAGCCGTCTGCAGCAGAGCGATATCATTCTCGAGCGTAACCTGGTTGAAGTCCGGATGATCGACTATCTGTCGGAAATTGTAGCTTTCTCCACCTGTGGTACGGTCGGTTGATCCTACCACCACACGGAGGTTGAACGGCTGTTGTCCGATGGTGCAGTGGGCAGCCGTCAGCAACCAGCGATCACCGATGATGACCGCACCGCAGGTGTGGGCGTTTCTCAGATTGCGGAGCGAAGCTTGGAATGGAAACTGGCCACCGCCAGCCTTCAAACCACCGACAATGCGACCGGATTGGGCCTCTGTGTGAAAGTTTATGATTAATAGATTTGAATCCGATTCGGACGTATTTTCACCAGAAAATTACCATTTGCAAGAGCTGAGCAGGCAAGGCCGACAATCAACAGATATCGGAACATTGTTCGCGGTGTACGTTTGTGAATGACTCTATTCGACGTTCGATTGGTTGTTTTTATATCTATTGGGCGTAGGAATTTTGCGAGTGAATCATGAGCAGAGCACCCCTTTGAAACTGGGAATTCGATTCGCAATTACAAATTTTTTTGCGAGATTTAAGAATATTAAAATTTTGTTCGAACAAGTAATCGTTTACAACTGGGACAAATTTTTAAGATTCTTGACTTCAATAAATTTCAATATGAATGACTTTGGAATATTTCCAAGGTTCTTTTTTTGGGATTAAAAACAAATTAGGGGTTGTGTCCCAAGCATTAATGACGTAGGACTACGAGATGCTAAAAACACAAGGCCGAACGGCTCATTCTGCGTTGAAGCTGCATTTGAATCCACAATTGACTGATGAACCGACATGCTAAAGCTTTCGTATTTTTGGTGTTATGTGGAGAAGCTGCGATTGACGACGAATATGCGAGTTGCGTTGCAAAACGATCCGTCTGCCGAGGATTTTTCAAATCAATTGTTGACGATTGGCAATGGAGAAGTACCAGTTGACGTTTCCACCAGATTGATTTCGTTCCCGCCGAATTTCTGCCATTTCACAACAACGAAAGAGGAACTCATTACGAATGGATTTCCAAACATCGTTCAAAATTATGGGAATCACCATTGGTTGAGTGCACGTGTGATTTTAGCAGCAAAAAACAAGCATGTCGATGATTTGAATTTCGAAATTAAAAATGCAATTGCTAGACAATAATTTGGTTCAAATCATTCGATACTGTGACTAATCCGGACGAAGTAACCAATTATCCAACGGAGTTCCTGAATTCATTGGATTTGCCGGGATTACCACCACATAATTAACGACTAAAGGTTGGATCTGTTAACATCAATCAACCGAAAATCCCAAGTAACCAACAAGCCCTTTAATCGCCCTGCTTGTTATATACGGCTGCTATACGACTGCTATATGATGATGATGGTCCCACCTCTTACCCCTACAAAGGTTTGAGCTGGACGATTTATCTTTAAGATAATTAAATATGACATTTTAACCAGGTTGGCAAACAAAATCGAACTGGTTTCAGTTACAGATATAAATTTCCTCTAGAGTTTACAGTTGCTTCACAGCGATATAAATGTGGAAAAGCTTAGGCGTCCACCTCTTAGTTCGCCTTTTTGTCCACCTAAAATATGCATAAGTATTACAAGCAATCAAGAGTTGATGAACAATCAACAAAGCATCCTATTACACTAGCAACCCCGCAATCTGATGCTATCATAATTTTCAGCAATGTCAGGAATGCCCCAACATTATAAATTCAGTCCTCTATATCCGTAATACGCGCGCGAGGCTCAAACCTTTGTAGACAACTTTTTTGTTTTAATTAGTCTACTATCAAATCAAATATTAAAAATCCATCCTCACCCTCGTGGCGAATAGAAAAAGTTTTTGCAGTGCTACAATAATTATTAAAAAAAAAGTCGTTATGACAGCTATCCATATAAAATAATCCGTTAGAGATAACTTCGTCAAGATACATAACTTGTCAATTCATCAAAAAAATCACTGGATAACTGTTCAAAAGACAGTTTTAACGTGTGAAATGCAGTGTCTTTTAAATTCTGTAAGTGTTGCTGAACGTTTGATATGTCTAGGCATCGAATTGAAAACATTTATTCCTTTATAATATAATGAATTTCGTGAAGCACAAGTCAAGAAATGTGGTGTTCTTATTTCAACCGCGTTTCTAGTATTATATCTATGAAAGTCACTTCCTCTTTCAATTCGATCACACAAATATTGAGGCAGCAAACCGTTAACTACTTAAAAAATGAACACCATAGTCAAATATACAATGCTTCACCGACAACCATTGTAAGGCGTCTAGCATCAAAGTTGAGGAAGTGAATCTATTACATCTCAAAATCAAACGCATTATTTTACTCTGCAAGCGCTGTAATCTCGATATTTGTGTTGCATTGGACAGAAATACAATGGATGGGCAAAAGTCTAGATGAGGAGAGATGATTGATTTGTATAGCTGTATTTTACTGGCAATAGCTAAATCGTGTTTCAATCGACATAGAATTCCATACTTCTTGGCAATTTTCTTGATGACCTTGTCAATGTGAGAGTTGAATTTAAGTGTGTCATCAATAATCACGTCAAGATATTTAATTTTCCGAACGTGATCAATAGTCTCATCATCAATTACAACAGAGACGTTCTCATTTACTCGATTCCGCGAAATTACCATAAATTTAGTTTTACTTGTATTCAATTTTAACTGCTTAAACTTCAACCATCCACTTAGAGAACGCAAATCTTCATTCAAGTGTAAAACGGCATCATCTAAATCCTTAGCTGCAATGAATAACACAGTATCATCTGCAAAAAGATTAATGTCGCAAAATCGTAAAACACGTCGCAAGTCATTAATATACATAATAAATAACAGGGGCCCTAATACACTTTCCTGGGGCACTCCAAGATTATTCCCCAAGGGACTGGAAACAGAATTATTATAACAGTCCGTTGAGCTCTGTCAGATAAATAGCTTTCAAACCATATACATGCAGTACTCGTAATTCCAAAGCGCTTGATTGATCTTTTCAATAAGGGCCTAGAAATTGTTTCAAATGCGCGTTTAAGATCCAAAAAACAGCATCAGCAACAGCATCTTTACACTCCACTTCGCTAATACCAAATTCAACGCGGTTTCACAAGACTGACCTTTCCGATATCTCGATTTTCTGGTATCAACAAACTATTACTATTTAAATACTCCAACAGCTGGCCTTTAACAACAAGTTCTAAAATTTTCTCTAATGTGTGCAACATGTTGATGGGACGAAACTCTTCGGCTTTCATCGTTCCAGCAACTTTTTGAATACGGACCACTAAGGATTCCTTCCAAATTTGTGGCACATGCCCAGTTTGTAATGATTCATTAATAAGGTCCAGCAAGATGTGGCCAATGACATGAAAGATGTGGCCAATGAACTTAGCTGCAATTACTTGTTCTGACTGTTCTAATGTGCCATTAAAAGTTATGGACCACGGTTTGCAATTGCTAGGTTTTAATAAAGATTTCAAAATTTTCCATAACTCTTTGCTGCTGTTTTGATGCTGATCAATCTTCCTTTGAACATATTCACAACGAGTTTTCTTTATCGATTGTGAATACTTATTACGCGCGATTGTGTAGCTGTAGATTCATCTAAGTTACCGGCCGCGAATGGAAAATCCACGCTTCTCTCAACAAGATTCGAAACAGCTTGCTTCGAATATTTCCTCCAGCACTTCAATTTTACAAAATTATCGTTATCGTTAACATGGTCTTAGACATTAATCACTAAGGTCTCATGATCGGTTATTTTCAAATCAGTATCCGTAACTGAACAAATGGAATCGAAATTGGAATAAACGTAGTCAATTAAAGTTCTACTGTGCCTGGAAATACGCGTATACTCATTTACCGTTTGCTTTAAATTTAAAAAAAACTCAGCAAAACGCTGCAAATGATTCGAATTATGGTTATCACGCCAATTAATATTTAAATCACCAGCCAATATATTTAATTTACTAGAATCAAGGAATGTCTCAAGCCAGTTCTCTAAAACTTCAACAAAACGCTGGTCACTAGAACTAGAACAAGTTCGGAAACCCTATATTTACGCATATCGCAAAAAGGGCAATCATAGACTGTTCCAGCAAGTATAAGCACACTTTCAAAATAACAAAAATGTCATGTTTTTTCAAGTTTTAATAATTTTATTTGGCAAATAATATTTGTAATTGTATTTCAAATGATATTTTACTCTCGTTTAATCAACATATTTAATCATAGCCAAGACTCCTAACTTTTCCTCGAACATGACCCATTAGCTTCTGCACAGTGGTACTTCCCACCATTTTGACCACTCTTGGCCAATATTTTTTGAATTTTTGGATGTCATCCGCTGGTTTTATTAATTTTCGAAGCTTTGCTTTGGTTAAAACCCAAAAAGTCTCGATTAGCCGTGCCTCCGGGCAGTTCGGCGGATTCATGTCTTTCGGCACGAAACATACATTTTGACTTTTGTACCATTCTAAAGTGTCCTTTGCGTAATGACATGACGCCAAATCAGGCCAAAATACTACTTGACCTTCGTGCTGCCTGATCATCGGCAACAATCGCTTCTGGAGACATTCCTTAACGTATTTCTGAGTGTTCATCGTCTCCGTTGTGATGTATGGAATAGATGTTTTACCACACTCGCATATTGCCTGCCAAACCATAACCTTCTTACCGAATTTTTCGGTAAAAATTGCCTTCTCCGTTTCGGGGATGTCCTTGCCTTCGCTTACAGTATAGAATTGTGGTCCGGGAAGCGTTTTGTAATCTAGTTTCACGTACGTTTCGTCGTCCATTATTATACACCCAGAATTTCGACAAAATAACGAATCATAGAGTTTGTGGGCCCGTGGTTTCACGGACGCGGGTTTCTTTTGGGTTTTTTTTGCTTCCGGTATGTTTTAAGCCCAAGTCTTTCTTTGGCACGCATGACGTTACTCGACGAGGTCCCTAGTTTTTTCGCAACATCCCGAACGGAAGTCGCTGGTTTTCGTTTGTAGGCATCCCTGATCTTTTTATCGATATCCGGACTTACAGGACCGGATTTCCGGGCACTCTTCGGCGCATCTTCAAACGTACACTGTTCTCTATATTTTTAAATCGCAGTTCGTACCGCTCCGACGCTTACACCCTCTTTCTTGGCCAATTTTCTCAAGGACAGTCCGCTCACAGTGCACCATTTGTGCACGATACTTTTTCGTTGTTCCGGAGTAAGACCACGCATTTTGACAGCAAACACAAAACTGAGCACTTTTTTGATGCTATGTCATTCAGAAATGAACAAACAAAAAGACGCAGCCAAAACATGTTGAAATATTTCATTATATTCAAAGTGACCGTTAAAATAAGGTGTGCTTATACTTTGTTGCATACGACTTGTGCTTGTATGGAAAGCTTGGGTCAAATCGGCTAGCAAAAT